GGGCCTCCTCCCTGTAGGACATGCACGGAAAACCTCTCCGGGTAGCCGCCCAGGAGGCATCCGCACCAGATGTCCAAACCACCTCAACCAAGTAAACGTTATTTGTCTACATATATTTCATATTGATTGATGTTAAGTGGAGTTAGTAAATTGCCCATAGGTGTGCATGTGTGAGTGAATGGTGTGTGAGTGTGCCCTGCGATGGGTTGGTGCCCCATTGTGGGTTGTTCCCTGCCTTGTGCCCGTAGCCTCCGTAGACCCCCTGCAACCTGAGTGGAGCAAGCAGGTACAGAAATGGATGGATGGATGGGTTTATATGTTATCCTATTATTTTTCAGTAAAACACCAATCCTCAAAATATTAGGCACACCTGGATTTTGACTTAGTGCTAAGGAATTTAACACAGACTTCAGGATACCAGGGCTCTGAAATAGTGATCATTTTAGTGGCGTTAAAGATCAACAGATAATAAACATACCTTTGCCCCCCATTTCAGTCACTACCCTGTGCCTATATATGGTTTGAGTAACAATTTACATACATTATACCTACCTGGCAGGGGAGATACCATGGTAACGAAGGTGGTTCACCAGCATGAGGCCCAGCCATTACACTGTGGCTGTGCTGACCCCTGTGATTTCCCCTGTGAAGGCACAGTGTATGTACAGCGTACATATAATAAAACCACACCCATAGTCAAGGCTGTACATAAGAATACAAACCCAACAACTGAAAGATTGTAAAGGTGTGACAATTGTTCATTGACAAGTTTAAACCGGATCCTGGGACCCCGTGATTCTGACAGATCACCTGTGGTGGGCTAGTCTTCCCCGATCCAGCACAATAATTAGATTAATAATTAGATTTAGGTAGCTGAGGCCAGCAAAACCACTCCTCCTCCTTTTCAGACTCTGTCAAAAGCCTTGCGTAAATTTAGGAAGACAGCTCCCACCACCCCTCCTTCGTCTAGGTTTGTTGTAATTACTTCAAGGAAGTAGCAGCACGCTGTTTTGGTTCAGTGTTTTTTCAAGCCAAATTGCATGGGATGCCATGGAATCAAGATGAGCATTTAATTTTTCTGCTACAACCTTTTCAATGACCTTTGAGATGACTGGGAGGATGCTGATAGGTTGATATGTCAGGGTCAGCCCCTGCTGTGGTCCTTCCGTGTCCCTTCCCTGTTTGACCAGCAGGTGTTGCTGGTCATCCCGTTCTTTGTGTTAGTTTTTGTTCTCCCTTGTTACCTGTCTAGTCATGTGGCTTAATGTGTTGAGCATGTGGTTGTCTGAGTGCCCTGTGTTCGAATCCCGCCTCCTCTGTTTTTGTATTTTGCTCCCCAGTGTTTCTTTGT